GGCTTTTTTCTTTTTGCTTATGTGGTGCTCCAATATTTCATTTCTTGTTTGTACTAGAGGAAGTAAATTTGATTTCTTAAAACGTTCAAATCTGAAATTTTAGAAGAGATATGCCACTGTAATTTTGTTTCATAGCTTTTTCCCCACTGAGGTGACAGTCATTCTCTTGAGTGGTTTTGTAAAAGTGGTGCTAATGTGTATACCCTAAATTTTTCTTTTTTCTTCCTTTAACATTTGCTTTTCCTTTCACTGTTGTCAGTCACAACACGCTGCTCTTGAATCTCTCAGCTGGTCTTGACTTGTGAATTTACTTATGCTTTTACTCTTCTTTAATAAGTACATTACTTGCAAGCAGTGAATTGAAAACAAGACAAAAAAACCAAAAAATAAATAAACAACCATTAGTGATTGGACAGTTTCTTACTTTGTGTTACATTTAACTGTTCTTTTGACAGCCCAGTTTTTAAAGCCAGGTTCGTATGGAAATGCTTTCACTCCACTTGCACTGCTTTTGGAAATAGCATACTGCTTCATCTGTCTGTTTATTTTAGTGCATTCATAATATAACACAGTCAGCATAATGTCTCATCTCCACTTAGCTAAAGCTTGAGTTTTTAAAAAAGAAAAACCATAACAAAATGGGGGGAAGGTGGCAACAATTTTTGTCAGCATTGCTTAATATCTAAAACTTTGTGCCAGATAATTGACAGCACTAGCATATAGTAAGATTAAACACTAATCAGCTACATACTCTTTAGAAGTTATCCTTGTCTTTTCTAGAGGTATGTTTAGCTGTAGAAATTATGATTCAAAATAATGATTTTATATATGAATAAGTTTGTTTTCATAGTAAGAAAATAATAGCTTCTTTTACATTTTCTGCTAACGTTAGTTATATTAAGATTTAATATGTTTTATTGTATTTTACAGTGCTAAGGATCAAACCCAAGGTCTTGCCATACTAGGGAAGTGTTTTATCACTGAGCCAGCCTTTAAGAAGTATTTTTTGTTTATTTTTGTGCTGGTCCTGGGTCTTGAACTCAAGGCCTTGGCACTGTCCCTGAGTTTTTGCTCTTAAGGCTCGCTCTCTACCTCTTGAGCCATAGCTCTACTTCTGACTTCTTCTTCTTCTTTTTTTTTTTTTGGTGTTTAATTAGGGAAAAGAGTCTTATCGACTTTGCAGCCCAGGCTGGCTTGGAACTGAGATTCTCAGATCTCACTTTCTGAGTAACTGGGATTGCAGGCACAAGCCAGCAGCACCTGACTAAGGTTTTTTTTTTTTGTTGTTGTTGTTTTATGAAGGTCATGGGCTTGAACTTAGGGACTGGGCACTGTCCCTGAGCTCTTTTGCTCAGTTAGTGCTCTACCACTTTGAGCCACAGCACCACTTGTTGTTTTCTGGTGGTTAATTGGAGATAAGAGTTTCATGAACTTTTCTGCCCTGAGCTAGATTTTGATCCTCAGATCTTAGCCTTCTGAGTAGAGTAGAGGTAGAATTAGGTAGGAGCTACCAGCACCCGGCTAAAAGTCTTTTTTTTAATTCTTTCATTAGTTATTGAGGGGGAGCTTTCATTGTTACATTTCCACACATGTTTATAGCATATTCCAATCAATCTTACTTCTTCTAATTATTCTACCTTTCCTCTCCCTTCTTCCTAGATAAGTTTCATCAGGCTTCATTGCCATAGCTGCAGACAATCTTATTTCCACCATATTCATCCACTTACATCCTTCTTGTTAGTCTTCTGCTAGTACCCACCCTCTGACACCTCCCTCTGCCCCTTTTTTCTTTTGTACTGGCCCTGGGGCTCAAACTCAGGGCCTGGGTGTTGTCCCTGGGCTTCTTTTGCTCAATGCTAGTACCCTACTACTTGAGTCACAGCACCACTTCCGTTTTTGTTTTTTTTTTCTGAGTAGTTTATTGAAGTATGAGTCTTACGGACTTTACTACTCTGGCTAGTTTCAGACTTTGCTCCTTAGCTCTCAGCCTCCTGAGTACCTAAGATTACAGGTGTGAGCCACCAGTTCCTGGCTTTTTTTTTTTTTAAATAGGTATTTATGAATAGACATGTTAATACTAGTTTAAAAGATATTTTCCCTGGCAATACAGGGAAGAAGGGAATCAACAGTACTGCTGAATTAAATTTTTGATAGATTGCACATAGCCTAGTGTTTTATAGTTATTTCAATTATTAGAAAAATTAATTTCTAGTGATCTTTTGCGCATTATATGGTAATATAGTAGTATCTTTTGTTTATATGTGGCACTGTGGTTTGAACTCAGTGCCAGGCACTCTACAATTTGATATACTCCTCCAGCCCTTTTTGCTTTTTGTTATTTTTCAGACAGACTCTGTAGCTATTTACTTGAGCAAACCTGACATTAGAATGATCCTTCTAGTTATACACCCCATGTAGCTAGGATAATGCCACCATACTTGTTTTGTTGAAATTGGGTCTTGCTAACTTTTGTCTTGGCCAGTGTCAAACTACCAACAGTCCTTGGGAGGCAGAGCCCTCCTAAGTAGCTAGGATTAAAGGAATAAGCCACTTCATGTGGCATTTTTGTTTTAGAAATAAAATTTTTATTATCATTTGCCTCTCTTCTACCTTCATCCAGTAGTACTGAGATCTGAACTCAGGGCCACCTACTTGCTAGGCAGCCTGTTTTTGAGCTGGCTGTTTTTGACATAGGGTCTTGCTTTCTGCCCAGTTGGTGCCCAGACCACATCCATCTAATTTAGGCTTTTGTCCTAGCTGTACCTCCAGCTTGTTTCATTGAGATTAAGTTTTACAGACTTTTTCTGCCCTGATTGGCTTTGAATTTGGTGCTCCTAATTTAACTCTTTTTTTTTTTTTGGCCAGTTCTGGGGCCTGAGCATCTTTTGCTCAAGGCTAGTACTCTACCACTTGAGCTGCAGTGCCACTTCCAGCTTTTTCTGTTTTATGTAGTAGTGAGGAATTGAGCCAGGGCATCATGCATGCTAGATAAGTACTTTCCACTAAGTCACATTCCCAACCTCTAAGTCTTGAAGTAACTAGGAATATAAGTGTGAGCCATATGTATCTGGCTTGCCTCTACTTTTTGTTTTTAAAAGGTATTCTGAGAGCCAGATATGGTGGTACAGACCTATAATAGTAGCTCCACCCAATCTGAGCAAGATAACAAGACCTGGTAAATAAATAAGCAAGAAGCATAAGCCATGTGGCCTACTTGGTTGCCTCAGAACTGAAGGCAAGAGGATAGAATGTTTCGAGTCAGCCTGAACTCTGTCTCCAAAAAAAAATGGAGTATCTTCCTCTTTAATTGACTATACAGCCAGTTATTCAGCCCAGTTTTTATTACTTTTTTATTCATTTTTTGTGCCAGTACTGGGGCTTGAACTCAGGGCTTTATGCTCTCTCAGCTTTTTTTTTGTCAGTCATGGGGCTTGAACTCTGGGCCTGAGCACTGTCCCTCAGCTCTTCAGCTCAAGGTTAGCACTCTACCACTTGAGACACAGCGCCACTTCCAGCTTTTTCTGTTTGTGTGGTGCTGAGGAATGGAACCCAGGGCCTCATGCATGTGAGGCAAGTACGCTACCACTGATCCACCTTCCCAGCCCTCTCTCAGCTTTTTTGATCAAGGGTGGCATCTTACCACTTGCCATAGCTCTATATTTGCTTTTTTGGTAGTTAATTGGAATTAAGAGTCTCAATTTGTTTGGACTGGCCAGGTTTAAACTGTGATCCTCAGCCTCCTGAGTAAGATTATAAGCATGAGACTCAGCTCAGTTTTACAGTTTACACACCATCTTACACTTGAAGAAGGAAATTGTCCCTTAACAAAACAAAATAAACAGAGCATTTCATTTGCTGTCATAGAAGATAACAGTAATTATTTTTGTCTACCACTTCTGTGAACATTTTATCATCAACTATGAAGCTGAATGAAAATTATTTTAATCTGAGATACTTGGTTTCAATGGGACGTTTATGTTGTTTTTAGCTTTATAAATTGATTTTAGATATGAGGTTATTTCCAGATGGTGATACTAGATTAATGCTACAGTTGTAGATAAGGCCTTGTGCATACTAAGCATTTACCACTCAGCCTTCAGTGTTTTTCTTTGGATTAGTATCATTTTTAAATTAATTAATTAATTTATTACCAGTACTGGAGCTTGAACTCAAGGACTTAAAACGCTTGCATGCTTTTTTTTGCTCAAGGCTGACACTCTACCCCTTGGGTCCTATCTCCACTGCTGGCTTTTTACTGGCTAACTGAAGATGAGTTTCTCAGGCTTTTTCTGCCCTGGCTGGCTTCAAATCAGGATCCTCAGATCTCAGCTTCCTGAGTAGCTAGGATTATAGGCTTGAGGGTGTTAACGCTAGTACTTAATTTTTTTTTTTTTTGTACATTTCGTGGTTATTTTAGCTTTGACTTGCTACTTCACAATAATTGTAAAAAGTAGAGAATTGAACAAAGGGTTGCAGAAATTTTTTAAATTTCTTGATCCTTTATACAAAAGCTGACACTTAATTGTTATTTCTGGTGTTGTTCTACATTGATATAACTTTTTTAGTATGCTTCTAGGAAGATGAGACATTATGTATGTTGATTTTCCCCCCTACATGCACTAATGGTTCTTTACTGTTAACTTATTGCTAGGCCTGTTTCATTCTAACATCTTACCATTTTTGTTAGACTACATGTTGAAATGCATCACTCAGTCTGTGCTTGAGCTCATTTTATTTTTATGTTTAATCAATTTAATTTCTTGTTTTACTAACCTCACTGTTTTTTCAGTTTAATATTGGCTGCATGCTAGTTAAATATTTATATTACATATATATATTTATTTATTTAAAAACCCAATCAAGTCCAGCCTGGATTTTGCTGATTGTTTTCTCATTTCTAGTGGTGGGGCAGTCTTGCACTTACTACTTTGTATCCTGAAAGCCTGACACATAAAATAACAAAACACAATGTAGATTTTCCTTTTTTTTTTTTTAACTTAAAGTGGTGCTGTCTAGGTGGTGGATATGATTGTATAAGTACCTTGATTTTATGCTTTTTAATGTTAGTGTTAAATTTCATGAATGTATTCTTCCCCCTTTTCCTATCCTAATTTGCTCCTTTTTAAAGTGTTATATAGAAAAGTTGCCCAGCACACTATCAGAAAGGACCCTTATCCCATATGTTCTTCTCATATAAAATACTAGCATTTCTTTTTACATTAATGGCCTTTTTATTGGGGGCACATTTACCCTATTATTAGCACTCTTTGCATGCATATACGTAGAATTATCTCTTGCTCATCACCTGTTTAAATGTCACTAGGAAGGGAAGAATATATTATTGGAATATTTTTGGTTTGTCTCTCTGTTCTGTCTGTCAGGATAATATTGGACACCGGTTACTCCAGAAACATGGGTGGAAGCTGGGCCAGGGATTGGGAAAATCTCTTCAGGGTAAGTTTTTTAAATTTACCAAAAAAAGAAAAGAAAAGAAAATGTTTCTGATGTAAATCTTGTACATGAATTTGTTTTGTTTTGTTTATAAAAATTATTTGGGTTTATCCCTCTTCTCCCCCCCCCTTCTACTTGTAATTGTTTTAGATTGCTGTTTAGCCTCCATATTTGCCAATAATTTGCAACTGTAAGCTGCTGTGTCATTAAAACCTGCAGGTCAACATACTGTGTGTAGCTCTAGTTGTTTGAATTTGTGTGTGCTGTAGTGAGTGATGATTGAGTAAAGTTAAGTGCATTACCAGGGTGTATTCTTTATGCATTGTGACTTGTGTTATTTATAAAAGTCAGGGACAGTGGCAATCTTGTATTTCCTACCTACTTGGGAAGTGAAGAGTGTGGATTGTGGTTCAAGACTAGCTTAGGTGTAAAAGTTTATGAAACGATCTTTTTTTTTTTTTTTTT